ATCTGCTTGAATGCCTGTGGGTGAAGGCTGGGTTATTTGAATTGGAATAATTCGTTGACTGTGAGTTTTAAGCCCACTAGATAGTGGCAAAATCATGTTTTCTAAGCCTGTCCGAGGGTGGCAAATCCACGTCTTAGCCTACTTGCGGGTAGCACCATCAAACCATTTTCAAATAAACAAATATGAAATGTTTTGTTCTAATTCAGGCGACCTAGTCTATACTTGTATGCTGTGCGCATCACATAGTAAATCTAGGCTAATAACCGAAATAAGAACGCATAATGTTTTCAAAAATAGATATCATGGTTAGTAGAGGCCGATCTTTGATCGGGCGAGCGGGGGTGCTCACGAAGTGACCTTCCCCAATCGTACCCATGTTCCCCAGCCGAGGCAACTTTGGTGATGACGAACACGTGGCCTTAGGCAAACGAGTCAGGGTTTCCTAAATTTTCCCAAAATAAAAGATTTAGGTGGCGACTCTGTATCTGGCAAAGCAGTCCATGTTTGGCACTTCTTTCAGAATCTGTTTTCCCAAAACGATTTGCTGGATTTGGACTCTTTGGTTCAGATTTAGAACCGTGACAATTTGAGAGTCCGGCCAAATGAACAGAACGGGACTCACCCTCCCGGGACGTTCGGGGACGTCTACAGTTTCTGGCGACTCCGCTGGGGATTTAGAGAACTTGACTCGAACTCATGATATCTTGTTTTGACTACACTTATGTGTTTCTTTGCATTACATTTGCATTGGTGCGCCTAGGACACCGTGTTTGCTATCTGCTATTCCTGAACGGTTTGCCGGAGGCTTGCTTCGAGAAGCATGCCATAAAGCTGACCGGTTACAAGCTCTGCTAGTATGGGAGCACAAACCCCAGTTTTACCGGGGCACCCTTTTTGACCATTCGACCTAGTGCATATTCGGAATCCATAGTTACCACTCCAAACTAGGACAGGTTGCTTCCCCGTTTATAGGTTGTTTAAAATCGCTGTGTGCGTAGTGAAACCCTAGCTCCTGACAAAATAGGACAGGGAAACCCTACCCCAACATAAGGGTGTTTTGGCTCTCACTTGCTTGTTATGTGCTTTTAGAGTGCGTCTCTATAGGAGTGCATGTATCAGTTTGCAAGTTTGGGCATCAGGCCTGCGGGCACCAGTTCAGTATTTTGGGAATCAGTTATATCTGCGGGTATCAGATTCAGTTTCGGGGGTAGTAATTTTGGGAACAGAGATCAGCGATCGAATGCAGTTATTCAGTTATGTTCATGTCTGTATTAGTGGGATTGGGCTGAAATGCTGCATGTTTTCTCTTTCAGTTCAGAGACTCGGTTCAGAGCAACCAGTGTTCTCCTTTGCTGAGGCAAGAGAAAAAAAGGCTCATCGGTATATCAGATCCATCAGTCACCAGTCCAGTCCATCTGATCCGTCAGTCACCAGTCACATCACCTCCGATCAGTTCAGCAGACTCGTGATGACACAGAATTCAAAGGAAATAGTGGTTATGGAAGCCGCATTAAACCAGGGAATCATCATACAGGGTGATATTGACGTTGAAGTGCCATACCCACCCAGGTCACCTGTTACATATCCGATCTGGGAACCCCAGTTGTTTCAAACCCGTGAGCCCACCACATTCGAGTTGATGGGAATGATTGGTGACCTTCAAAGATCTGTGGCGGATCTAGCCTGCGGAATGTCGGTTCCGCCACCAAATGCATCGTATGCTAGGAATTTCATTCTTCAGGAGCCCCCGCTACTGGGGCGAATTGTAATTGAACTCAGCCAACCTGAAGCTGTCTCAAGCTCTGGCAATGATATGTCAACAACAGCTGGACTTCGTACTGGTCAAGCAACCCAAACCTTCCACCAAGCTGAGGCTAGTGAAAAGAACAAGATGAAGGTGGATGCTGATCCCTACGAACAACTTCAGCAAGCTGTTGAGGCTCTAAAAGCCGAGGGGTTGAATATTAAAAAAATATCATTAATTATTAATTTTTAGTGACAATTTAAAAATTTTATTACAAAAAATATCATTAATTATAAGTTTTAGCGACAATTTAAAAAATAATCACAAAAAAGTTACTAATTTTTAATTTTTAAAAACAATTTAACAAATTTATCACAGAAAAAGTCATTAATTGTAAGTTTTAGGACCAATTTATAAAAAGTGTGACAAAAAAAAATACTAATTGCCAATAGTCATCTCAAAAAATTATTTTTAGTTACAATTTTATTAGGTTTCATTTTCAATAGGACTTGATAGGAATTAAGTCAAACTATTAAGACTTATTGGTAGTTAAAATTTTTTTTTTTTTTTTTTTGGGTTTTTTTTTATTAAAATTTTTTTTAATTTTTTTTTTCTTGATCTTTTTTTTTTTTGTTTTTTTTTTAAATTTTTTCTACCAAAAGTTTATTATTTTCAACTAAAAAAGACATTAGGCCTCGGGCAGGGGCGGGGGAGGGCCGGGCCTTGAGTAGGCCTTAAGTGTGCCGATGGGCCAGGCTTCAAAATGATGGCCCAGGCCTACGCCTTGGGGCTCGGGTTGGGCTTGGGCCCGGGCCCAAATGGGCCTAAACGGGTCGGACCCACACAAGGTCATTGGCTAGTTTTGGGCCGCCCACGAGCCGCAGACCATTTTTACACTCCTACCAGTGTAATCTGCCTAATATTTTTTTAATTTTTGGTTCTTTGAAAATGATGGTGTGGGTATGAAAGGTTATTTTTCTCCATCCAACTTTTCTGGTATAACCCGCTCCATTTCTCTCCGATCTTTTTCACTCCGATAAGGAAATGGGTCCAAGAGGTGAAACTGTTAAGGGACCGCAACCGGGCCTGGCCCTGGCCCCTCTCGAAATATATAAAATTTTACTTATACCCTATATAATCTTAAGTATTTACAATATAATTAGTATATTATTTTTAAATTCTAAATAAATTTGATTTGATCCTAATCTGAATAAAAAAAAAAATTGTGTTCTTTTGAAAACTCCTCCATTTTTTTTACTTATCCCAATATTTTTCAAGTGCTTTTTATAATTCAATATAACCAAAGAGTAATGTAATTGAATATAACCAAAAAGCAATGTTAGAGATTAAGAATTCAGATACAGTATAGTACCAAGAAAAAATAATATGTTATCTAGATTTAATTCTTGCATGGTGGAGATTCATACATTATTTTTCTTGGTATTTTTCTATATCTGAATTATTCGTCTTTAGCATTACTGTACAATTTATATCATCATTTTTATTTACTCTCTGCATATTTTTATGCTTTTTATTAGAACATCATTTTCATTCACCTCTCACATTTTAGGTGAGAGCAATGATAATGACTTCATAATGAACATTCATTTTATATCATTGTAGTGGAATATTTTATTAATATCAATTATAATTAATATTTTTTTAAAAAATAATAGGATAAAATTCAATTTATCCTCTTAGGATTTGATGATAGCAACAATGATTCATCCCACTAAAAAATCACCACTAATAGCACTAATACATTAAAAAAGTAAAAAAATAAAATAAAAATACAACTCTAAGACCAAAACATCACATCATTAATGGCGGGATCCACTGCCACCTAATTAGTGGGAGCACTAATTAGTGCTCCCAAGCATTTTTCTTGATGCTAGAGCACTTTACTCCCCCATTGTTCAAAAATAGTCAAAAAAAAGGTCCCATGTAAGTTTAACCATTTTACACTTAACCTCCCCACAGCATGCGTTGATTTTGAAAGTGGGCTCCAAAAAAATAAAAATAAATTCAAAGTTCAATTAAATAGTTAATGGACAAATTTACCCTTTATACCTTTTCTTCTCATTTCAAAACCCCAATCTTAATACTCCAATCACCCCATAATCATCACCACCACCTCCTCTTCAATGTCCAAATCTAAACTAAAGATGAAGTTTTTTGCTGCCCCCTTTTTAATTCATGCTATTCATAATTCCCAAATCTATATATATATTAACTTATCTAAACCTAAATTTTCTTATATATATAAAACATATGTATAATCATATATTCAACCGAAATTCAAAATTTTACTACCATCAGAATGTCGTCGATGTCACTACAGCAGCTCCATGGCCGGAATTCCATCTCAGGTTTCTTCTCTCCCTGCCGACTTATCTATTCCCCTCTTTCTATATATTCTTCCACGGTCACTGTACATGCAATATATATACTTCACCTTGTCAATAAAATTTAATTTGAAATTAAAGTGATTGTTGTTGCAGTACAACAAAAAAAGGTTTCTATGATGTGCAGCGCACATCATATTATGACTAGTCATAGAAAGTCATTCACTTTCAACGACATGCTGTTGTGTGCCGTTAAAAACTATTTATTGGCAGATTTTGTGCGTCGTTGTTACTTTTTCCATGCCATGCTATAGTACGCCGTTAAAAACTATTTAACGACAGATTTTGTACGTCGTTACTTTTTCTACAACTACTTTTGCACGCCATTCATTGGTGAGACAAATAACGACGCTAATTGCACGCCATAAAATATGTAATACAACGACTTATTATGCCTGTCGTAGAATATACAGTTTTTTTTTTTTTTAAATTCAGCAGGTTCTATTTGACCAATTTTATACCATCTAACAAATATTACAAACAAGCATCACAAAACATCAATTAATCACCAAAATATTGTTTGAAACATCAAAAAGAGACTATATCCATAAATTATAAACATTCAACAATTATCTATACATTCCAAACATTCAAAAACTATATCCTTAAGTTCTAAACTGTACAAAAAGTTTAACCCATCCAAAACTATGTATATCTAACTTTCTAAACATGTCGACAACTATTAAGAGATTATCTAAAACTACAGAGAACAGTTCCTATAGCAGTTGCAGCTGTAACAAATCCACTTGCTCCTATCACGGAGACAAGGGTGCCCAATGTATGTGTTAAGGCACTTAAACCTGCAGCAATAGCTGGAGCAACTAACCCTGTTGTATTTCTTGTTTGCATGACAAAGGAAACTTCACATCAGTACAAAAACCAACAACTCAGGAACAAAAATATTTCTTGAGGTATTAAGAAATGATCAAGAAATTTTAAAACATCAACAAACCATTTCCAAAATTTATAAGGTAATTCAATGGCCCCATAAAAGCAATGTCATAATGAAAAATTAGCAAAAATTCAAGGTCTCAATAGTTTGTTACTAAATCTAGTTCATAAGAAGCTCAAGAGAAAAATCAAATTTAAAAAGAGGAAGAGGTGGAATTAATCTACTTCAATGTAGCACCTACTTGGGACTTGCATAATTATGTCAAATGATCTCTATGTATGAGGTTTAGGTTTGTATAGGTTTTATCCATTACCATTGTAAGTTCCAAAATAAAGAGTCCAAGTCAAATTAGAGTCTATTATTTACAAGTTTAAAAAGAAACTTTCAATCCATTATAGAAGAAATTTGGGCAAGTTTTAGTAGCTTTAGGCGCTTTTTGGGACAATGTGATGTAATTCTACCTGAGTACTTGGTAGGAAATACATAAGATAAGGAACTATAGGAATAATCCCTAAGCTAATCTTTTTCTTTTTCTCTAATTTTTCGCTAGTATCTAATTCAATCACAAGCTATTACTAATTTCATTGACTCGTGAACCTTATAGCCTACTTCCTGAACTATAGCATGCTCCCGGATCAGCACCATCATGCCTACCATCATGCCTACCATCATCTTGTAACATTCATCGACATGTCTGCGAGAGACCTACATGACAAATGGAATGGGGATCAATACAGTTAAAAGGCAGAAATAAGACAAGGTTAAACCCCTTAACCCAAAATAAGGAATGAAAATAAAACACAAAATAATAATTATTATTATAATCTAACGTCAAGAAAGCATTTGAAAAATCATGAGAGAGACATACTCATATGGTTTGCCTTTCAAATCCACGGTAGCAGGATGCAAAGTAGGTTTCCCAATTGTTGAGGCCCCAACACCGTGACCATAACGCTTTACAGTCATCATTGCCTGAGGTTTATTAATTCAAGAAGTCAACTTTCTCTGCCATTGCAGGTATTAGCAATGGAGAAAGAACCAAAAACACCAACACAAAATAACAGTAAGGTAATGCAACAGATTAACAGAACTGCTTTCAACAACAACAAAAGGAAATAAGAGAACCACAAAATCTAAATTCCTAAGTTCTAGGCTGACATGCCTATAAAATCATCAAGGGATTCTACACTCTCCTGTTGGCCTCAGTTGAACAAGTAGGCCTAGTGGTAGAATTAGGGGTTCTTATGCTCTTTGGATCTCTTATCAAACTGCAAGGTGTGCTTTCCCTGGTGCTCCTATAAGATAATGTGTATTTTCTTTTACAATCAAACTAACATCTAGAGAGAGAGAGAGAGAGAGAGAGAGAGAGAACAATAAAAAGCTATGAATGAATCAACTGTCTCCTGTACCATGAGAACTGATCCTAAGCTTTCTGTAACTAACATTGATATAGAATGAAATTTATAAGCCATTAGCAAGCTGCCAATAACTAAAAGCTGAAAACTTTAACTTTGGTAGTCATGGCTTCAGAGCACATTATTTTTCATCTTTGAACCACTACTCCAATTATGAAGCAGGGCCCTACTAATCATTTATAATTTTGCACTTTAAAAAGATTACACACCAAATGCATTTGATCATGCTTATGTGAAGGTAATGAGAAACCTTTTTCCACTAGGAAGTGATTTGATCACCAAGATTCCTGCAAAAAGGCTATAATACACATGCATATATGATCTTCTTAATATATATATATACACACACTTCAATAAAACAATTTTCTAATAGTTAGTCATTTTATAAACCAGGGTCAAGCAAAAAGCCAAATAAAAATCTTGAAACTGATATAACAATACAATACTATCTTTAATTATCAAAAAATAAATAAAACTTGAAATAGATCAGTATATACAGAGGAGCAAAGAACAACTAGAATCTTTCAACCTTTCAATTCTTCAACGGCCAAATTTAAATCCATTTCTTCAAGGACAAAAACAATTTTCACATGAATTCCATTCCAAATACTAACCCATAGATAATCTCTCCCAAAGCACACAAAAAAACCCTCTTAAATAATCAAAATATATCACAAAGGGAAATAGTTTTCATTTAGATTAAAGAAAAGTAACACCATGATGCGGGAGACACAGGTATATATTTTTCAAACATAAAAAATACATGAAAAACATAACAAAGAAGTTCGAATAAAACAACAACAATTTTAAGACACTTACACTAGAAAGTAAAAATGAAAACACAAACAACCACATAATTATTAGGTTCTCGAATTCTAAAAGAACCAATCCACCTGGGAAAGAGAGAGTAAAATGGAAATGGTTGTCTAAGCAACACAAATAGAGGACATCAACTTAATCAAGAGTAGTTATCTTAGGAGTAAAAGTTCCTGCCTCCAAACAATCCAAAAGAAAGTAGAGCATATTATAGTTTCTTTTCTTACCCAACTTTTTCTCAACAACCAAACAGTGTGTGAAAGCCCTTTGCCTTAGACTAAATAGAGATAAATGAAAACAAGAAAAAGGAAACAAGAAGTATAAATATATTCAAAACTCCAATTTCCAATTTCCACCAAAGTATTTGTAGAAGGGGGACCTAATTGATAAACATGGATTTCAAACACTAAACCCACAAAAGGATCCTACATCTTTCCGCACACTCCAAAACAATGGAAAAATAAGATTTGGTTTCATTTACTTGCATTTTCTCAGTAACCAAACAGAGCAGGAAATAAGGCCCCAAACTAAAGACCAACTTAAAAAACTATAGTCCCGACATCAAACTATTAAAACCAAATTAAAAACCCACTCTCCTTTCTCAAACCACATAAAATTTTTCCCCATGCAAATATAAAAAATATATGAATTTTAATTGTTTATCTTTTTTACAATTTCCCACAACCAAACAGGCATAAAATTGACCTTTACACTACCATTTTCCACAGTATAAAGGATGAAGAAAGCCCATTTTCACACACAAAAAAAAATCTCCAAAACATAGGTTCAAAAATGTTTATTTCGTCCTTTCCCACATTTTCTCAGCAACCCGACAGTGCAAAGAAAACCCTTTTTGGGGAAAAGTAACTGTGATCAAAGAATGATGCTTTTAACAAATTTAAAAAAAAAAAAATTAAACGAGAAACCCACCTCTCTGTACCTTCAAATCCCAACACAATTTCTCCAAACGAAGTTTCAGTACCACCCACATCAATATTTTTGTTTTCTTGATTCTCTTCCTCTTTAACCCCACCCTCTTTGTTCTTCAAACAATCAATCGATACCGACCCACCAGACCTAGAATTCAAAGAACCCACCCTCAATCTAGAACTTGAATTAGGGTTAGGGTTAGGGTTTTGCAAGCAAGTATCTTTAGGGTTTTGCTTCTGCCTCTTCGAAACAACAAAGAGAATAAAATGTAACAATTTATTTTTCCAAAAGAGAAGTCACTTTTACCAAACCCAAAAACTTAAAAAAAAAAAAAAACCCCAAAACTAAAAAAAAAAAAAATTACTTTTGTCTTTGGTTTAACAATTAAAAAATTAAAAACTTGGTTGGCCTTGATGTATATGTTCTTTTTCTAATATATATATATACTAGAGATTGTCCGCGTCTAAAGACACTATCTAATGAAATTGTTATATTACAATCTGTGTTGCAAAAATGTTAATGGCCATATGAAGTTGCTGCAAGGGGTGTATAAACAAAGGCAACTCACTAGGCTAAATTTTCTCAAAAATGGTGGAGGTGGAGGTGATGAAATGGACACTATGAAGTTATTGCATGTTCATCAAAAAAACTTGAAAGCAGGGATGACACAATTCCTTTTTTTTACTCATACAAATGCAAGTAAAGAAGAACAAAATTCAGTAGAAACAAAAGAATAGTTGAAAATTAACAATCGACAAACAATGACAAACAAAGACTATATCACATAGTCCATATCACCAAACATTTGCTACTGTAGTCTTTTCCTTTTCCGACCCACCTGTAATTTGCAACAGAAAGTAAGCACTTTAGTTGCATGATGCAACAATAAAAACTTGACTTTAAAGTTGGGACAACAATATGCTGCATCTCAATGATCAATTTGCATGCTAAGAGAACTAAGAACAGGTTTTAACATTAGCATCCATGACTCTATCCTACCTGCATATGAAAGGTCCTAATTTGAAACTAATGAAACATGTACTATAGAAAGGATTTTTATTTAAGAGTATTTTAGCATGCTACTTATTGTTTTCATAAATTATGACCTATTCAATTGAATGCTGTTGATCATTACAATCTTTTTCCATCATGATTGAGGCCCTTGAGCTAAATCTTAGCTATTGAATGGTTTTGGTTCCTATAGTAAGCTATAGCAAAGCATGAAATTGAAGCCTTGTTACCATTGCAGTTTATCAAAAGAAATGAAGAATCTCTATACAATAGCAATGAAGGCATATTAACTCACTTCAATTGTTAGAAATATTATACAAAAAATTGCAAATAATTGGTTTGCTTTAAAGAATGATCATAAAATTATAAATCTTAAACCTTTATGGAAAAATAAAAATTAAATGCATAAATATACAGGAAAAATCATACTAAAAACAAAGAGATCTCTACAAGGTTCATCACAAAGAAAAAAGCTTAATCACAAAGTATTTATCCAACTCCAATTCAAAAAAAATTTACCGTTAGTACAGGTCATTGGTAATTACGAAAAAATATTGATGTACAATCTATAGCAATTCAATAGAAAAAGTAAGAAAGATAATTTGCGAACCCAAAAACTTGCAATTTGATAGCATTATGGCAAACCCCAAAAAACACAGTGAAATAGGATTTATGTTGATCAAACATAGGGAGAGATGATTTGCACTATGATAGTATACCCAAAATTTTCAATCTATTAGAATAATAGAAAATTCATAAAAACAAATCTATATATAATTAAAACTCAAAGCACTTATAATACCTAAAAAGCAATCAATGCCATCAATGGACACAATAGCCCTAGAAAAAAACTTCAAGTACCATCAACACCATGTAGTTGTAGGCAGTAGGATTGAGCTTCAAAATCTTCCTTGGGAGCTTTTCTTTATCAATTGATGATGCAAGCAAATTCACATCAAGTAAATAGATGGTTATTCAAATGATAGCAAACAAATAAATACCACAAAAATAAACTGGTAGGCAAAAAAATAAACAATCGACCACAACTTAGAGCACAATTGTTCAGGTAAATATGGGGGAAAACCCTTTTCTTAAAAAATTAAATTAAATATAATGGGCATAGGCATGGGCCATTTTTTTTTTAAACTCATAATTACAAACAGAGTTAATATACCTTCATTGTTGTTGGATAGAGGTAGAGATTCCTTTCTACAGTACATGCTCCATTCGAAAACAAAGAAAGATTGGAAAGTACACTATAGAAAACATTGGAAAGTACATGCTCCAAACATAGATGCAATTTGTGAGAGATATACATGGAGAGAGAGATTTAATTGTAGTAAGTATGGTACCAAAATTGGATGTATGAAGCAAAATAGAAGAAGAATTTCGTAGGGAGAAGAGCAAAGCCCTAACCTTGCTATTGGCAGAGGTGGGTACAAAGAGAGATATACACTGAGTATGGTACCAAAATTGGATGTCTGAAGCAAAATAGAAGAAAAATTTTGAAGAAAGAAGAGCAAAACCCTAACATTGCTATTGGCAGAGGTGGAGTGTTGGCAGAGATAAGGGTTTCCAAAAAAAAATTTAGTAGCAAAACAACACAGATACAGAAATGATTCAGAAGTAGAGATAAGTTAGGGAAATGATAACAATAGCATATATATATATAAGATGTAGAAGCAAGGATAGACCAGGTTATCGAAGAATCGATCGGAGCGAGAATACGGAGGTGGATCTCGACGAACCTCGCCAGGCTCGTAATCACTGTCGTAACTAGCTTCGCCACCGCCGCCGCTGTCCGACGGCCGTACCACTAGCTCCACCACCGCTGTCGTAATCGGCGTCGTTTGATCTTTCTCCCTCGCCGCTGAATAGAGATTGAAACCCTTCGAACAGTTGATGATTAGAATCGGTCAAAAGCCAAATAGTTGATGTATATATTGTTTTTCTAATATTTTCTTCCTTTTTTTTTTTTGGTTTAATTGGCGGTAGAAAATTTTAACTTGGCGCCTATTTTTTTTAACATATAATACACGACATGCATTGTGCGTCGTAAAAAGGAAATGCTTTTAATGGCAGGCATTGTGTGCGTTGTAAAAAGTGTAAAACTTTTAACGACATACATTTTGTGCACTGTGAAAAGTGCAATACTTTTTACGGCTGGCGTATGTGTGTCGTATATAGTTGATGTATTAACGGCATGCCATATGCATGTCATAGAAAGTTTTATTATTTACGGCAAACATTACAAGCCGTAAAAAAATTATCGTTACTACTATTCACGGCCTACGCAATAGACACGTTGTGGTTGGAAAAGTATTTTCGACGTGCAAAAAAAGCAAATCGTAAAAGTGAAAAACTATGACGTGCATTTATTGTATGTCGTTGATGTGGTGCCGTAAAAAGTCAATTTTGTTGTAGTGCTGATAAGTTTCTAATGGTTGAATAAATTTAATTTGGAATTATGTGATTTAATTTGAAATTAATTTGTAACAAACTTTTTGATCGTTGTTAGATTCAAGTGTATACATCTATACATACTTGTAATTGCAAATGTTGATTGCATCTAGTGAGTTGTAGCAATGGTGAGAGTTCACACCAAAGAAAAGCAAGAGAAGATAGTAAGGGGTGTAAATGTCATTTCCTATTTACTGTTAACTAGGACTGGGCATAGGGTAATCCGACCCACAAAAATCGTCCAATCTGAACCGCGTGCATCTATTTGGGTGGTTTCGCAGAATCATTAGGGTCGGATGCAGGCTAGGATTTTCTATTTTGTGGGTTGCGGTTTTTACCCGCACCCACACTCACCCGCCCGTATTGGTGTACATTTTTTTTAAAAAAAAAAAAATCTGGACCGTCAGATTTTAATGTAAGTTTTGTAATACTCTTCACTGATAATCAACCACTTTTTTTCATGTCATTATAATAACATTATAACATTATAATAATATCACTCACTGCCTTGTTTAAAATACTTATTTTTCAATTGAAATTTCTTCGATTTTTTGCAAATCTAGTTATGTGATTTTTTTTTTGTTTGTTAGTTTTTATTTAATTTTCATTCTAATTTTTTGTAATCCAATTTTAATGGAGGATAGTGTTGAATCTCTCGCAATTAAGAATATTTAAAAAATGGAGAAAAACAAGCCCAAAAACAAATTTTAAAGGAAAAAACTCAATCCACAACCTGGTTGCAACTGACCACACATTTGCAAACCTTATCTGCAGAAACTGCAAACCGCATTGCGAGCGATTGTGGGTTCAATTTTTCCTAAACCACAGACATGCGGGCAGGTCCAAACGGCAAACTAAACTGTCGAAAACCGATCCGCGAGCACCCCTACTGTTAACGGTGTTAGAGTTGCATTTTAGTTCAAAATTATATGGGGCTTCTTTGACTATTTTTTAATGATAAGGGGGTAAAGTACTCTAGCGTCAAACCACAAAAGGGTAAATTGGATTTTGCCTTGAATAATATTCTGGTATTTCTTAATTGTACTGTTATGAGAATACATATATCAAAAAAAATCTGAAAGAGAAGACATATTTTGGCCTCCCTCAATTAAAATCCTAGTTCAGCCCCCGAGTGGGACTGAGATGAGTTTTGTTTTACCTGTCACATTTTAACTTGCCCCTACCTCGTATATATTTACTAAAGGAGGACTTATGTGTTGGTCCTAATAGATGGATTAATTGTCCAATAGGTTCTACGATAATTAATGGCATTTTTCATGAAACACTATTAAAAAAAGTCATTAATTGTTAATTTTCAACAACAGTTTGAAAATTTTGTCAAAAAAATGTTAATAATTATAAGTTTTAACGACAGTTTAAAAAAATCGTCACAAAAAGTCACTAATTTTTAGCTTTCAGCGACAGTTTAAAAAATTCGTCACAGAAAAATGTCACTAATTGTCAATTTTTAGCGACATATGTAAAAAATCATCACAAAAAATATTTTTACCGACGATTTTTTTAGGACTTATTTTCAATAAGACCTGATGAGAATTAAATCCAACTGTTAAAACTTAGGGGCACTTACCAATCAGTCCTATTAACTAGACTTATTTACCTACAGGTCCTAATTGATAAATTTATAACTATAAAAACAAGATACTGATAAACTTATCATCATAACTTTATTCATAAAAACAAGAGACTAATATTTTTATCATTTGATAAATTTATCAAAAGGACTTAATGGGTAATAAGTCTCAAAAGTAGAACCTATTGGTAATTTCTCCAAAACTTTATCGGTAATTTGGGTTTCTCTCATGTTGGGCATCTCAACTTGAGAGAGCATTTAGGTTTGATAGGTCTATTTTAGGATCAATTTTAATAATCCGAACCATTCATTTTTTGGGACTCGTTGAGTAGAATATTAATGTAAGAAATCAAGATGATTAGATATTGGTAGCTATATGTTTGAATCAAATTTATATTACAAAAAATGAATAGTTATTCTTGAAATTATATTTGTTGTCTATTTTTCTAAAACAAATATAATTCAAACATACAACTACTGATATCCAATCATCTTGATTTTTTACATGAATATTCTATTCAACAAGTTCTAAAACGTAAATGATTCGGATCATCGAAGTCGATTTTAAAATGGGACTACTAAGTCCACACACTCTTGACTAACCCAACTAACCCACGCTGCTCTCGCCCCACCCCCACTACCAACCCAATTTGCCCCGCCCCAATATGACACATGGCTAGAGCGGGGGACTTCAAACTCACCCCAAACTTGCTTGTGGACATCCCTAGGTATGGGTGGTGTGGGTGGTGGTGATGGTGTGAGTAGAATGGTCGTGGTGGTGGTGGTGATCATGACGACAGTAGTGTCGGGTGATGGTTGTGTGATATATATCTCATTAGGTTCGAAAAATATTTTTCACAAATTTACCTCATTTTTTGTTGATTATATAAAATATTTTTAGATGACTTTTATTTTTTGTTAAATTAAATGTTAAGAAAATGAAAAAATTCTTTTACAAAAAGGATTTTTGACATAAACAAATGGAGTCTTATTGTCATTAAATTTAGTTCTGAATAATTTCATTTCCTAGAATTATGAGTGTGTGATAACTTGGATTATAGGTGGAATTGCTTAAAGAGAAGCTTGGTTTTGATGATGCATTCAACTACAAAGAAGAAACAGATCTCAAGTCAACTCTCAAAAGGTTTGATACTCTACATGTTTTTCTTTTTTTTTTATTTTAGCTTTTATTTTTATTTTTTATTTTTTTGGTAAATTACACCTAGTCTCTTTTATGTTGGGGGCGAGACTAGTGAACTAGCCCTGTTTGTTTTGGGAGATGACGGAGATTGGATTCATAGTGAGTAAGGACCACAAAAAAATATGTTTGTTTGCAAAGTGGAGATTGGGATTGGTAGTCCCTTCGTATTAGTATAGGTCTTGGAGAAAGAGGTTAGCAAAGGCCTCCAAGAGTTGATTTCAAAACTAGTGAGGGGATTAGCTTGGCAAAAAGACTGTTTTGCCCATGTTGTGTGTTGTGAATTTGTGTGTATTTTTTTTGGGCATTACGTTGTTATACATATAATATTAAAATAATATAGGTCAAAAAATATTTATAAAATATAATTTTTAATATTAAAATATATCAAAAACACAAAGGGTATTTATGATATTTCATATAGTCAATCCCCTCACTAAAATATATCACAAATAAATAATTTTTCTTAGTTCTCTCACTAATAATCTCCTCAATAATAATCTCCACACTAACAATTACACTCAAACTAACTCTCAAAACAAAGGGGTAATCCTAATCCACATATATATGATAAAGGAAAAAACGATTGTGATGTCAAGCATTGACAAGTGTTATTTGTTTCCAGCATTATGGCACAAAATTGAATCACTAGAATCAACAATTCCACCAAATACACATACACACACACATATATTAATAATATAATAAAATAAAATAAGGTGAAATTATGCTTAGTTATAGTCTCTCCCATATCATATTATGTTTTTAGCAAGAGCCTTGTGGAATGAGTAAGTTATTTTTATGAAATTTTTTCCAAACAAATTGTCTATATTTTTGGGTTTATGGGGGACATATAACATTAGGTTCAATAATTAATCTTTTTTGGCGATAAGAATATGTCGAAAAAGTCGTCATCAGTACCGATGGCAGTGGCTAGTGATAGTAAGGTGGACAAATAAATAAATAGATAGGTGACACATTTATATATTGTTGGAAAAATATATGAAAACTCTGTTTGATTAACAAACTGAATTAGATATTAGAAGATAAAAGCAAAATAAATAATAGAGAAATAATGGAATCGAGGCGCAGAAATCATCAGCTATCCTTAAGAAATGATTTCGCCCCACTTGGTGCAAATGGCTACTGGCGGTCGTTCTCCAGGATACAACGGTGGGTCTTGATGGCATGCACTCACCAAGCAAGACTTAAACTCATCTAAGAAATAATCCAAAGAAACCAAGAAACTGTGTGGGAAAAATAGAGAAGAAAAGAGAACTTTTTCTGTATATATTGTATTAGCTCACACGCGCGGCCAAACATCCGAGTCCAAATTCAATGTGCGTGTGTGTTTATATATATGGACTTCACACGTATAGCCCAAAGCTTACATAGTCTCCCCCACATCCTTGGACCTTACCCAATAACAAAGGTCTACATATAAGAGGTGTAAGAAAACTAATAAGAAATCAATGTGGAACATAGAAAGGAAATTTTGAAACACTTCTAACAATCCCCCACATGATTCAAAATTAAATAAATAATGAAGTAAAAAAAAAAAAAAAAATTCTGGGCTTAACTTGAGATGCATTGATGTCGATGTCTCGTGGCTTGAATCGACACTTAGTGTTTACAGAATGTAGATCATAGGTGAAAGGTGACTCAAATCTTGAACCTTCCACCTTTTGGATGATCTAGCAATGCTGCATACACACCTTTAGTATTCATGATGAGTTCTTGGATTGGCGCAATAAAGCCATGCGCCTTACCTGGATTTTCATGAGTGCTCTAGAGAATTAGCCCTAACTCTCATAGGAGGCGGCCCTACCTCCAGACTCACATAGATGAACCCCTCAAGTGTGTAATGCTTCACACCACCTTTACAGGCTATGAGTTCATTAAGAGGCATTTGCTTATCTTTATTTAGTTTAGCAGCTTACACTATTTTTGTAACGCCCTCAAAATAAACCCATAATATCATACAATCAAGATATAGAAAAGAGATAGTATATTACAATCATCAGAGTATTACTTACAAATTTATTACATGTTAACAGCAAAAGCAAATGCCCTACGGGCTTATAGCTTTCCAAGTCAACACTTGGTTACAACAAGAAGAGTACTAACTCAAATATATATTAAGCCCTTGGCTTGAATTTACATGTAATACAACAAAAATTAACAAAAAAGTCTTTAACTCCCACGACCATCCAAACTAAGATCTCGGGGGCGGCATAGTACTTGAACTTGAAAATGATGTCCCATATAGGGTGAGCCATAGCCCAGTAGAAATATACTAAACCAACTATAAACAATGACAAAAATAACAGCATTCGATAGATGGTTCACACTTAGATTCCAACTTATATCGTATTACAGTTTCATGACAGTCATGTCCATGTTACAATTCATTTTCCATTTCCTTTTCAACTCTAAGTTTGAAAACAAGGCTCAGAACTTGGCCAAACAATTTAATGAGATTATAACTCATCATTAAAATACTTTCGAAATTCATGATGGATACACATTTTGGTGCTGTATCAATAACACATAAAATCACTTATGTACTTCACAAATGATACACATTGCAGTGTTGTACCAATAAAACAAGAACACTTCACAATTGATACACATTTTGGTGTTGTATCAACAAAACATAGAAACACTTCTATACTTCACAAACGATACACATTGTAATGCTGTATCAATGTCAAACAAGATCCGGTCTAGAGGTCTATCCCCCATCTTCCCCTAAACCGTGGAGTACATCCCCAATCTCCTCCCACACAAAACAATGTATATAAGCAATTATCATATACAAATTCAATCAATCAATACAAAATTTGGTGTATTATGCCAACCGCTATATTCGATAACATACTCAATTGATTAGTTTTAGTTTGCCTAATCATCATGCATTGTCTACAACAATCAAGACTATCCTCCACCGATAGCCCCAAGCAGTTATTTCTAAACAGGAAATAAATGCACCAAATGGATAAAATACCAACATTTACCTAGGTGAGCGATAAATTAATCCAACTACACCCTTTAATCCCATACCATTCTAATTTGAATATTTCCTATTCAATTTCTCATTTCCCAAAATTAATTATACCAATTAATTTATCATGCAATTAGGGCTTTTTCCCAAATTCACAATACCAACCCTAAGGTTCCTTTTTCATCAACAATCCAACACCAAGTCCATTTTCCAATGTATTGCATACATAAGAGTTTATATGTTTGAAAACCCATCTTTTGAAAATTACACAAAGGCCCCCAAACTTTCTCGAAATTACCTAACAACCCCCAACATATCGAAATACTAAAATTTAAAGACAAAGCTCATAAGATGGAGTAGGATATCCCTACCTCGAACTTAGAGCTAAAACGGAGGAGAGGACCAAACTCAAAGTGCTCCAAACTCCAAACTTTTCAGATGAAAATGTAGCCCTCGACGATCAACACACTTTTTGTAAAGGTCAAAGGGTAGAAGAACACTCTAACCAGATCAATCCTAAGAGAGAAGGGAGATTCTAGAGAGAGGAGCTCTCAAAAATGGCTTTTCGGAAAAGTAAGAGAGAGAGTGGAAGTCGAAAAGTGATTCAAGAATGCACAGTTGCCAACTGATATACGCATGATCTGCTCGAGCGGAGAATAGAACGCTCGAGCGTCAAGCACAAAATCTGGACCCGCTCGAGCGCAAGAAGGCCAGCTCGAGCGCCAAGACACAAGAACAAAATACATCCACTCGAGCGCGAAAACCAGTTCGCTCGAGCGCAGATTACCCCCTCTCAGAACTTTCACAGACAATGAACACCCCACTCGAGCGCCAACAGACCCGCTCGAGCGTGACCCGCTCGAGCGTAAGGAAACCCGCTCAAGCTTGAAAAACACATCTGCAGAAGTTTTGCAGAGGCACAGATACTGGAAGTGTGAAAACTCCGCTCGAGCGTGATATGGTCCGCTCGAGCGTATAACCAAAACTCTGGGCAACAAGGAAAGGGACTAAGGCTCAACCAGCCTGTTCGAAACACGCCCAACACATCCTAAAACTCAGACATACGAAATCTAAAGGATGACAATAGGACACACAACCACCAACTCCACGAAACCTAAGACCGGAACACTGTACATAAAGGGGACAAACCCGGGATTGCTATAATTTTCATCATAGGGAGGGACAATTAAATAGTAGTGCTGTCTTGAGCCTCTTTGTCAGTTGTTTTTATCCATTGAACCTGCTTCATGGGATCTCCAATCACATAGGTTGGGTTGCCATCACAGGTGACTTACTTAATGGGCTTAAGTCTCATTACCCTCTATGTATTATACATCACTTTTCTAGTGAGCCCTTTTGTCAGAGGGTCTACCAAGTTCTTCTCTGATTGCCCAAACTCAAGAGCTATTACACCATTATTTATAAGTTCTCTAACAATGTTGTGCCTTAGTCGAATGTGCCTCTTCTTTCCATTATACACTTTGTTGTTTGCTCGAGCTATTGCTGCTTGCGAATCACAATGCAATGAGATAGATAGGACTGGCTTCTCCCATATAGGAATATTAGCTAGAGATTCCTTAGCCATTCATCTTCATTACCTACCATTTCTAGAGTAACAAATTCAGATTCCATAGTAGAAGAGGCTTTACAAGTTCGTTTGGATGATTTCCATGATATAGCACCACCTCAAAGAGTAAACACATAACCACTAGTGGAATTAGTTTCACCATTATCTGAAACCTAGTTAGCATCACAAAATCCTTCTAATACAACAGGGTATCCTATATGGTGAAGACCTAGGTTCATTGTAACGCCCTCAAAATAGTAACATTAAACCCATCAGATAAGACATGCATTTACATATAAACCAACCATATTCCTTTATTTCATTGAGTTTCAATACATAAGTATTACATGTTAACATCAAAACAAAATGCCCTAC